CCAAACTTTTTCTCTCCTTAGACCTTTCATATCACCTCTTGCCCTGGTCCTCTCAATAAAGGGCCTCGTTTTCTTACCTGTAAAATAAAGCAAGTGGCTTCTCAGATTTCTTTCCCAGTTACAGTTATGATCCTGTGTTCATCTCTTAGCCTAGGGATAAGACCTAACATGGAAGTATAGGTCAGAGGTCAGTCATTTTAGGAGGATCATCCAGACTCTTGATTCCAGGAAAACCCATTATTGGTACCATTTAGCCTTTGCATATTCCAGAGGTGTATCTTGGTGTCAGCCACAAAGACATGTAAAACTGTTGTTGTTTTCCTGTACAGTACTGCCCAGGCTCAGATTGACTTGGTTCACTTTCTCACATGGGTCCTTGCCTGACTTTGCTAGTTGACTTTTAAAATAGACCCAGTTTGTGGGAATAAGGTGGGTGTCAGGACTGGGAGGCATGAGCAACAGAGTTTGTGACATTTACTGAGTTTTTGTTTTTCCTGAAAAAAATTCTTCTTTACTTTAAAGCGAAGCTCTGTGAGATTTCACAGACTATAGGAATGGTTTTTAGAACATGCCTGGGTCACTTTTTGGTGACCCAAACCTGTGACCAACAAACAGGAAGGGTCTCGTTAAGAGAAGGCAACTCTGTGCTGGTGGTGGCTCAGTGAGGACCTCATCTTTGCATATTCGGCTGTTGCTGGGGAACAGCTTAATTCTCAGGGTATTTACAGAACATTGTATAAATTAGAAGGCTAAGCTTAGGGGTTTTTTCCCCCTGTTTTCTACATATATGAATGCTGGAACCTCTCTTCTTTCACTCTATTCTATGAGCAGAGTTGGAGTTAATGCAGTCTGGTTTTACTTTGACTTGTTCTACCCAAGAGATCTTGTTCTCAGGCATGGTGCCCGGCAGTCAGACTGAGCCATCTTCATTCAATCCTAGGAGCAAGTGGTCAGGTCCCTATGACTGCTGATATGATAATAGCTCACAATTATGTAACTCCCTTAAGGTTTTTTAAGGCCTTTGATCTTATTTGATCCTTAACAACCACCATATGAGAAAGAAGGTGACGTTGTCTGTTTTTTACATGAATGATCTAAGGATTAGGAAGGTTGTTTTAGACACCCGAATCGCCTCACTCCCAAGGCCCATGTTTTTTCCATGAGTCAAGGTTGCTAAGCCATAACTGAGTTATTTCAGGGCTGTGCTTTTGTATTTAGACAACCTGAAAGCAACATCAATAATTTGAACCTTAATCTCTTGAATGATCTTAGTCTTGACTATGTTTTCATTGCTTTTTAGGGAAAAGCTAACTTAACCTTTGTGGTAGGGATCTAGGTAGATGTTACTCCTACTCATTTTTAATGCTAGCATCCAGGATGTGTACAAGTAGTCTCTTTCTAGACTAAACCAGTCTTATCAGGCTGTGACTATATTATTTGGGAATGAAATAGGAAGGACAATATTTGATCTGCAGTGTATCATGGAGAACCCAGGGTATCAAAGGGTATATAGGGTATAAAAGGGTATATAGCATGAGCTCTGTAAAGTCCTAACATACTGCAAAGACTTTGAGTTTGGGTCCAGTGACTGACTGGACCAGTCAGGACCAGAGATAATGCATGATTTGAAAGTGTTGATTAGGTGTTGTATTTCATTTTGTTTTGTTTTTTTTTTTGTTGTTGTTTGTTTGTTTGTTGGTTTTTTGTTTTTTTTTTTGTCACAGAAGCTTATGGAGACAGTCTGTTAAGGCCTACCTAGATGAATTTACAGATTTTTGAAGTATATGCACTCACATGTTAAGAGCATTTATTCAGTAGTATGTTACTTTTTGAGCATTCATGCCCATTATGTGGGAAAGATTTTATTTTACATGTGTCTGTATGTATATATACACCCACACTGATATAGGGAAGAAGATCCAGCAAAGAAATTCCCTCTACCTCTGTGAATTTATACCTGCTCTGTAGCTTACAGTCTTACAGAGAGTTCCCTTGGGGGGGACTTGAAGAGATTCAATGAGTTAGCCAGGGTCACACACCATTGTGTGTTTGGACTTGAACTTGGATCTTTTTCCCTCCCACTCTACTACACCATAGCTATATCTCTTGTCATGGAATCCTTGTCATCGTACTGTCCTTCTTCATCCTCCCAAACAGTGTTCTGTATCTGGAATTACAATGACTGACAGAAGGGGAAAAAGTTAACCATTTATAATTTTTAAAAATACACAATAATTTCTAATATTATACAAATTATACATCACAAGACTATTTTAGAGGCACCAATCAAAACTTCCATCCAAAATATCCCATGGTCACCAGTAAGAATAGGAGACTAGACACTTAGGTAGTACAGTGCATATAGAGTGTTGAACTTGGATTCAGGAAGACTTGAATTGAGTTCAGGCCTTAGACTTTTTCCCTTTCCTAATTCACAAGTTCAGCTTGTTGTGCCGAATGGGCATCAGGTAGCGATGAAGCTTCAATCACTTCTGTGGTGGTAGTGATTCCATAACCTGCATCCAAGTTTCCTTCCTCATTTCTGAGGCAGGAGCCATCAGTATGCCAGTCAAAGTCTGCTCCCTCTAAGGGGGTTGCCTTCAGGTCCTCCCAGGGAGACACTTCCTAGCTATGTGACCCTCAGCAAGTGACTTAACCACCACCTGCCTCAGTTTCCCTCATCTGTAAAATGGGGATAAAATCTACCTCCCAGTGTTGTGAAGATAAAAGGAGATAATATTTGTAAAGTGCTTTGTAAATTTTAAAGCGCTCTCTAAATGTTAGCTATTATTTGTGGGCATGTATTTCTCTTCTGTGGTAGTAAGGTCATCTCTGGAAAGGATAAATGGATTTTTCATATTCTAAACTTAACATTTCTCCTAAAATATGATGACATAGCCTTTCAGCTTATTGTGTCATAATTATAATTATAGGTTTTTTAAACCTTCCAGTTTGATTAATGCCTTACATAAGATCAATTCAGCATCAGGTGAATGAATAGCAGTTATATACATTTAGCAATGTTCATTTCCTACTGAGAGACTCCAACTAACTCTTGATAATTGTGAGTCTGACTCAGAGAGATTGTTGGAACTTGGATCAAAGTTCTCCAGATGGGATAGCTGGTCCATTTTGTGAAAGATAGTTCTGTGTTTTAAAGAGTTATGTCACTAATCCTCCAAAACTACAAAAATTTCGTTGGGTACTCCCTTTGTAGTAAAAATTGCAGCCCTTTAGTGACTTATTAGTTTGTCTCCAAGAGTTGCCATGACTAAAAAAATTCGGTTACTTTACACCTGGTGATGAGCCTTTCCACATTTAGCCTAGTTCTTGGACCGCAGGAACACAGTCTGCCCCTGGGCCCATATTTTAAGCCTTTTCTGCTTCATAGAACCTGCTGGAGGTTATGCTTCCCTGAAATAATCATAGAGAGCCCAGGGACACCACCAGGCAATGATAGGGCATCAAAGTAAGACTCCACTAGAGAGATACCATACATATCTATAAATTCTCTGCAGCAGTTCTTAAAGACAACCAGCATTTGGGGGGGATATGAACTTGGGTATTTATTGCCTTTCATTCCTCCCACCATCCAGAGTGGTTCATACAGATCCAGGCATCATCTCTTGTCCAGTTCAGCCTTAAAGCCCTTTCTTGTAAGTCAGCATAACTTTGGCTCCGAGAAGAAAACATGATAAGATTGCTTCCCATGCATATTCTAAACCTATTTGGTTGCTCTTGGAAATCCATTCACCAAAGCCCATGTCAGGAAAATCCTTGTCCTGGGATGAGATGAGCAGTTTATCTTAGCAGAGTGCTTATATAGATTTAGGGAAGGAGCAATTAATTTGTTCGTGTGGTTGGAAGGAAGAGGCCTCCTTAGGACATCAGAATTTGGGGATTTGAGTGACTTCACTTTCCAGGGATCTTGGGCACAAAAAAGAAATAACAGACACATGACTCACATGTCTCTTCTCCTGTCATTTTTCCTCTCAAAAATCCTTAAACTAGCAGTTCTAGTTCCTGCTGCCTCGTGTATTTGACTAGGTAGTTTTCTTCTCACACTCTCCCTTCTACTGTAGGCCTAGCACTGTGCTAAGGCCAACAGACACAGAAGTGGGCCAGTCCCTGAGCTCAGGGTACTTTTATTACATGTCAGCCAGTAAGCATTTATTAAGTGCTTATTATATGCCAGGCAAGGTGCTGAACACCAGGGATTTTTTTTTTTAAGGTAAAAAACATAGCCGCTGCCCTCAAGGAACTCACATTCTAATAGGAGAGACACCATGCAAACATGTGGGCTCATACAAGATATGGACACAGTATGTGAATGTAATCTAAAAAGTAAAGACATTAGCTTTGGGGGTGGAGAGTGGGGAGTGATGTATACAGTCTAGAAAGGAAAGACCCTCACCTCCCCCTCAGAAGGTGGGATCTGAGCCATTTTAGAGCAGAAGATTCCAAAGCAAATTACTTTGTTCTCCAGGCTGTTTCCTCAGCTGTAAAATGGAAATCTTAATTTCTTCTCTGCTTTCCTCATAGAATTGTTGAAAAAAAAAGCACTAATTAAAATGCAAGAGAAGTGGGGGGGGGTACACAAATGTCATGAGCTGTGATAATCATCATGAGGGTGATGCCCCACAGTGTCTTATTCAAGATTCTAGTTCTTCTCCCCCGCAAAAGCCCTTATCCACAGCACTTAACATTGCTTATTTTATTGGGAGGGAGAGAGCATTGGTGTGGTAAATAGAAAGAGCTCTGGTTTCTAGTCCTGCCTCTAGCTGTGTGACTTTGAGCAGCTCACTTAATTTCTTTGGGTCTCAGTTTCTACTTCTGCAAAATGAATGGATTGGATTAGATCATCTCTGAGGTAGGTCTTTTCCAATTTTAACATTTGGTATTATATTTCTATTTCCATCTCTTAATCTTCTGCCTCTGTGGTTCTAGAGAAAAAGAAACCATCTCTCTTTTTTATTTCTTTTCTTCTTTTCTTCACTCAGGCTATGAGGGTGTGACTGAATTCTTCACTGACCTCTTGAACCACATAGCCGCCGTCCTACAAGGCCAGAACCTGGAAACGACCCCACTCAGCCACAGCAAGCTCCTGGCTGACCCATCTGGTGGCTTAGCAGGGGAGCGGACACGGGGCACCAGTGCGGGGTGCTGCAGCAACGTGATGGGCAAAGACTCCTCCTGGATCGTGGAGAGTGAGACCAACACCTCGGTGAAGCTACAGCACCAGCGACTGGGGTGCAACCCTGCTGTGTCCCCCAGCTTCCAGCAGCACTGTGTGGCAACACTGGCCACCAAAGCGTCTTCCCAATAGCTGGTGGCACTGTGGACCAGGGCACAAGCGAAGGGCCCATCTAGAATCACGATGATGAGGCAAGCAGCTTAGAAGAGTTCCACCTACTACGACAAATTTCCATTGATTATTTTTTTAACCTGATTTCCTGATGCAATGATTTAAAAGGAGGGGGGCAAAAACCACAGTGATCAGAGCGGGAGAAAATGGGATGTTTCACCCACTTCCATTTGCAAATCTTTTAACAAGTTTACACACACTTGTGTTTTCAACACTAGACGTTAATGTGTGGGATGGTTGGTTTTTGTTTTTGGTGATTTATTTTGTGGTTTCTCGTGTGTGTGTGTGTGTGTGTGTGTGTGTGTGTGTGTATGTCTATGTTTATGTCTATGTACATGCGGTTATTCCCCCTTCATAAACTGTAATTGACCACCATGGGCCAACCTGTGTGACCTTTAACAAGTTATTTCACCTGTCTAGGCTTTAGATTCCTCATCTATAAATTGAGGGGGTTGGGCTCAATCTCTAAGGTCCTTCCAGCCTATATGATTCTATGTCTTAAGTCCAGACCTCCTAGAATTAGAGAGGCCAAGGTTGAAATTGTGTGTGAATGTCATAATTTAAAGAGAATTTTGAGTTGCTATAGATGGTTTTGTCTTCTCTTTTGATCACCCACCTGCCCCCTTAGTTGTGGTCCACTCTTCTTCCCTTGGCCCGGTCCCCCTTTTGCCCTACTCCACAATCCCAGTAGGAAAATGACCTGTGCAGTATGTGCTGAAGCCACATCTAGTGGGCAGGAGGAGATGAGTGGGTTGCATTTGCTCTCTCTCCCCTGTCCTGACTTATAGAGAGATGACCCAAAATGACCTTCAGAGGTTAATAAGGTATGGGTTTCTATAGGAGGTACCCCTCTGAGCAGACCCTTTCAAGAAAGGAATGGGAAGGCATAAGGAATTTTCCCCACTCTGCTTTGGAATCACTTCTAGGACAGTTGACTCTCGTGCCAATTAGAAGTCTCTCTGGCTTCCCTCAAAGACATCCTTGACACATGCAGCCAGGCCCACCACTCTACAGTTTATTAGTTTGCTACAGATATGAGAGGACCCAGGTTCTAGTCCCAGTTCTTCCACTAACTTTCTGTGTGACCTTTTGAAAGTCACCTTCCTCTTCTGGGCTTTTTAATTTCTTTCTCTTTGGATGAGGATGATCTCTTTTAAAATTTCAATCTAGCCATAAAATGTTATGATTCTATAAAGCATTCCTAGATCTTAAATAAGTGAGGGGAGTTGGGGGAGCTCCTGAGCTTAGCATAATGGAGAGGCATAGCTATTCTCTTTTAGGTTTTTTTTCCCCACAAAACCTGAAAACAAAGCTGTATACTGTTGGTCAGTGTCATCCATCTTGATGGTGTGCATCATAAACCAGAGCACAGCCTGGTTAACACTACCCCATTGAAAGATTTTGGGCAGAGTCCATAAACTGTACCTTGTAACCTATCGCGTCTGCCATTTCTTAACTTTCAGCTGTTCTTGCAAATCCTAAACACTAAGTTCACAGTCAGAGGTTTGATTGAAAAGGAGTTGATTTTTGTCCCTCTCTCCCCTCAATACAAGGTCTAGGAACAGCCCAAAAGAATACTCTCACTTTGACGAGCAGCCAAACTAATACCACACTGTAAATTGCTGTTTCCCAGTCCAAACTATACTGCAGGCGAGCAAAATACTTAAATTCTCTTCTGTGATGTTCTCCCATCCCCCTCCACGACCTCTGCAACCTTGGAACTTTGCCTAGACCAAGGAGACCAAGTAGAGGTTTGGAGAGGTGGTAGAAGGTGAGGGACTCAAGGAAGAAGAAAAATCCCTTTTCTCAGTCTGTAGCTTATACAAAGTAAGGACCCTAAGTTTTGTGGACCATTAAGATCTGCTGTAGGCTGGCAGGGGGGCACACTGTTCTAAACCATTGTTTGTCCATGCTTTCCCTGCCCCCAAGTTCAAGTGGGAAGGGGAAAAAAAATCTCATTTTTCCAAAACAGTCTCAAAGATTTGTAATGATCTGTGGTGATATGTAAATGTTCTCCCCATATGACTTTTTGATGATTTTCTTTGTCAAATCTATTTTTTGAGACAAATAGTAAGATATAAATGCTTTTTAGGAGAGAAAAAATATTTGGACCTTCTTCTGATTCATGTACAATGAGGACATCCTGGATGAGATTCCACCATTGTAAGCTCTGTATGGTACTGAGTTAAGGGAGGGAGAGGCAAATGAGATAATGTGTAAAAGCGCTTTGCAAACCTTTAAGCGCTTGGTCAATGCTAGCTAATATTTTGGTTGTCATTTCTTTTTTGCCCCCTCTTGGAAAAAACCCACATGGGAATGATCATTTCAGTTGGGAAGTGCTGGGGAAGGGGAAAGGGGTGGGGTTTGTGGGAGGGGGAGGGGTAAGAGGATGGACCTAATTGACACTGTCAGGCTTCCTAGGAACTTGAGAGCTTTCCAGCTAACCATGTTTACATGACTTCTGAGCGTTAGATCCAGTTCTAATGTCTGTGTGCTGTTTCTTAGCTCTACCTTGGAATCAGAGTAGATTAATCTGGCTTGCCTTAGAAAGTTTGGTTAGCCGATTTTGCACTGCCTTGTTTCTCCAAAATAAACTACTGAAATGTAATTGTATTTTATACTTGTTTACAAACAGTTGCTAAAATCCTGTTATGTAATTCTCTAAAGTCTTTTTGAAAAAGGTTTTTTGGTTTTATTTTGTTTTTAATAGCTTTACCTTTTTAAAAATAAAATCCCAATCCTATACTCTCAATAGAAAACAGGTGGATTTTTATTAGTGTGACACCTGGACACCTGCTCATGTCACCCCAATCTCAATCCTATAGTATTTATTTTTTATTTCTCCAAATGTGTCTCACAAATTTTCAGGGCACAGAGATACCATGTAACTGCTTTCCAATGACATGGCATTTTATAGGACATGGGTAGTGTGGCTACCTAATCATTGCTGCTGGTTGCAGGGGGGGCAAAATGGATTGTTTTATGTTGGGGAACCTATTATTTGCATAATATTCTGAGACATTATAAAACTAAGAGAATGGGGAAAGTTCACTTTACAAGGGACTTACGGGATTGTTCTGTGGTCTCTCTTTTCTTGCAAACATGGCTACTCCCTGGTCACATGGAGAAGAAATGGATCATATTAGATTGGTCAGTGTTGCTAAGAAGAGGATACTAAGGACCTCCCATCAGTAAGATAGATATGACTACATTCCTTCCAGTTTTAACCTGTGCTTCTTGGCCTCAGTGTTACCTTCCTAGGATTTTGATAATAATGAATGATAATAAGGACATGTCCTCTTTCAGTTGTTTTTTTTTCCACCTAGGAGAAAGAATGAGTTTATGGGAATCTGACAAGGACAGCGTAGTTTCTCAGCCTGGTTTAAATAGACCTTTTTGGCCTGAGATTCAGCTTGTATAAATAGCATAGTTGGTTTTCATTCTTAGCTCCCACTATCCTTGTCATTGTAGATTCTATTTTCTGACTGTTCCCTGGAGAAAATGATTTCACCATCCTGTGTATTCCACTAAAACAATCCCCAAATTCTCAAGGTTAAATAATAATAAATGACTCTAATTTGTAAATGTTTTCTAGCATTTATGTTCTTGGTTTCCTAATGAGTTGTAGGCAGTAGTTTCACAAATGGGGATATGACTTTAAATGATATCGGTGGCCTAAGGCTTACATCTTCTAGCATTTAGAAACAGAAGTGGTAGGCATCTGTTGGGAAGCCTAACCTAGTTTGTGTTCATCCTTTTCCTTAATTGTACCATAAACCAGATTGGCCCCTAGCCTTGGGGGTGAGGGGACACAACACGACAGAATGGACAACCCTTGTCGGTTGGAAAAATCAGCTTACGTGCCTTGGCTTATCCATATATCTATATGTGGTGAAGTTTTTGACTAGCCAGGCAAATGCCTGCTCTCAAATTGTCAGTCAGGGAGGTGATGGCCTGAAGAATTGATTTTATAAAGAAACATTATAAAACATTACCAAAGTGGTAGATGCCATGGTATTAGTTTCAGGTACATGGGTGGCAAATTGTAAGACTTAACCTAGGAAGAATTGCTTTGTGGGAAGATTGTGGTAATGTCAGATCTCTGCTTAGCCAAGAAGAGTCTGAAATGTGAAGCCCTATATCAAATTCTTACAATGATCCACTGATTACTGGTTTCCCAGAGGATGTCAGGTGAAATTCCTTTCCCTAGATGATGGCGTTTCTGTCTGTGGAACCTCCGTTTGCGTTCAGTGACATTTCCCACTATGACTACTGGTAGGAGAGAGCACATGAAAGCTAACTCATATTGTCCTTGGAAAAATATCCATGCCATGTATTGAAATCAGTCTTTTAAATCTATAGTGTAAAAAGGAACTGGCTCCAAATGGACCAGCCCATTTGTTTATTGCCACTCAATCGCCAAACACATCCCCATCCCTCTCTTTTACTTCCCTCAACTGTCCAGATTTTTTCAGTTTGATTAAACAGTTGAGTTATATGAGGCAGGCTTGATTTGTTTCAACTGACTGGTAAATTCTGTTTTAGCTTAAGTACTCTCAAACCCCACAAAACTCTTTATTGTTTTTTTAACAAATAGGCACAATAGGATACCTAATGGGAAACAGTCAATATGTGATTTTAACACACCTGCTGTGAGAGGCCAGTTGACCATCTTTGAAATTCTGTCTTGAAATTGCTTTTAGTTGAGGTATAGTCTTTCCATGTAAAGTATTAATGGTATGAAATTGCAATCCCTTTCCCCTTGAAGTCTGAAAAACTTGTTTCCTAAGACATCAGAACTTCAGCTTATATTCAACAGAGAACAATTTCTCAGTAGGTTTTGTAGACTTTTCCTTTGTTTAAATTTGCCATTTTATATTTTTTCTGCCCTCTGCTCCCAGAGTCACATGAATTTATTCACCAGCAAGAACTAATTTCCTCTCAAACCCAGATTTTCTGACACAGTGGAAAGAGCATTGCACTGGCATTCATGAGACTTGGGTTCAAGACCCAGGCTAGTCATGTAACAGACTTGTAATGTTAGGTCATTTGTCCTTAATTTATAGGATCATAGGATTAAAGATGGATTATTTAGGTTAACCTCTCAGCTTCAATTTCCACATAATATAAACTGAGGAGGTTGGAATATGTTCTCTGAAAAGCCCTTCCAGCTCTGGCATTTTGATTTTTATGAATAAATGGCTCCACTCTCCCAGCAAATCTAAGATTCCCTAAGTAATGAAGAAGCTGACTATCAGTCCTCATTGTAGAACTTTCCATGGGGACCTAACTCCTCAAGTTGTTTCAGAGCAGGCTGCCGTCCACCTTGGTTGTCCAGGGCTTTGTCCCATAAGCCTTAGGGAATCTAGGAGAGACAGCTAAGCAGTGCTCCCCAGACCAAGGGGATCTTGAGATGCAATAACCCAAGTATGGATAAGCCTGTTTGGTCAGTGGTACTGGTGTCCAGGATCACAACCCCTGTGGCAGCTTCCTGCCTGTGGGATTCCCGGGAGCAGAAAGAAGAGGCTTGACTGGAAGGGTCTCTCTAGTAGGCCTCTGTTGTCTAAGGACATAGAAGCGTGTGTCTAGAGCTTTCTCCATTTCCACTTTTCCATCATTGCCGTTGTTTCCATTTACATTCTAACCCAAACATTTAGAATCCTTTTATTGTTCTTGTTGAAAGACATGGGTGTTTGCAAGTTTTACCCAATTTTGGTAGCCAAATGCCTCAAACCCACCAGATTCACACATATCCTTGGGAAAAGATTGTGTAAAGGCATATAGCAATGAATACACCCTCCCCCTTGCTCATTCTAACTCCTTCTCCATGCCATCCTTACCCTTCTATGTCCTTTCCATCCTTCCACAGTCCACAAAGCCTAGTGCTGCTCCATTAGACCTCTTTTGGGGACTACTTTTTCCCCAAATTTTAATCATCCCCCGTTCCCCAGTGCTGTTCCATTCAGGGCACTACATGGAATCACATCCCTTTTTCCCTCTTGACTCATACTCTTCGTAACTACAAAGATCCTTCAGCAGTGATTTGACAAAGATATGATCCCAACTTTATGGTGTTTTAAAAAACAAAAACAAAAGAGTGTTTTGTGATCATGTAATTTGCTTCAATCCTGTTCACAGGCATCCATTACCAAAAGTCTAACTTGTTTTATACTTAATTCATGTATATATATGTAATATATATATATACACACACACACATATATATGTCTAAGAAATATATATAATATATAAAATGGTGAATTGTAAAAACCAAAAACTTTTGTTGGGAATTTGAGTTTATTGCATGCTTTCATACATGTGATAATGAGGAAGATGATGGCATCTATTCAACTATCACTTATTTTTGGGATAAGTCCTGTTTTTTTTTAATTTGCCAACCTTCTGTGGTACCTGGGATTTTGGTTTTAACAGTCACTAGTGGATACAGTAAGTATTGTAATTGTTATTTCTGTAATTGTTTTGGAGAAAAAAAATCCTCTTTGAAACACACCAAGAAATAAATGCCTTACAACACCAGGGTATGGGTGTGGTTAATACTGAAGTGTCTCATCCAAGACTTTCTGACACCAACTGGCCATGTGGCTTTAGGCCAGTCATCTTCTCTGGGCTTTAGTTTCCTCATCTGTAAAATGGGAGGTAGAGTTAGTTGATCTCTCGAGTCCCTTCTAGCTATGATGTGTTTTAAGGTTCCGTCTAGTTTTAGCCTGTGATTCTTTGCTCAGTCTTGTCCTTCTAGGAGCCTGGGTTGGGTTCTCAAGCCCCAACTTGGATGCTGAAGCTTTGCTTGGGAAATCTCTGCAGAGTGGTGTCAGTGCCTTTGGTACTCTGTGCCATTTACAGTTTTTGCTTTGGAATCTCTTCCCTTACCTCTCAGTATTTTGATTCATAGTGCTGCTGCTGAGATAGAACACATGTTGAGGAAAACTACGTGATCTCCAACAGAAGAACAGGATGTTGATGGTAAAGGGATACTCATTGTGGGCTCTGTTGCCTGCTGAGACTTTCTTAGATGGAAGCATCAATAATAGGCACAACTCTGGCAGGATTCCAGATCTGGAAACAAAGGTTCGTAATTCCCAACCTTGTCTTCTTAACCAGTTTAGTCTTAGGAGAGTTAGTAACTGAGCCTCAGAGGTGTCTTTCTGCATCTGAAGGCTAATAGCTCTTGCTTCAGCTATGCCCCTACAGCATTGCAAGGATACATGTTAAGAGGTCTGGACAAAAGACAGAAGAACTAGGTCTTCTTATCTCTGACCAAATTCTTAATGATCACCACCACTATGGGTTTGTCTATACACGTCCCTATATGACTGTGTGCATGGTCCCTTTACCTGCCTGTTCACTACTATGTGCAATTAAGTGATTCGATTAGAGTTTCGATAAGTTTCCTTCCAGCTTTAGCATTCATCTCATAAAGATGGAAGTGTGTGAAAGTGTTCTAATTCTTTTATCTGGGAACCAGGTGTGAAAAATTTACAGTAGATCCTTGGTCCTGTGCAGACATGGGTTTCTTCCTAGGCATCAACTACTACCCTTGGTGTTGGTCCAAGAGATTTTGCCTTTATTCCTGACTACTTCTACTTTTTACTACTATTTAGTAAAAATATAACTTTTAATTGAACTCCAAGCCTGGAGGCGTTACCCCCTGAGGCATCTTGGTTCTACTGTTGCCACCATCTTGATATGATTGGTCTGATAACTGCCTTCTCTCTCTCCCTCCTACCCCCTTGTAGAGGTCATGGTTTGCTCAGGTTATGCCTGTGGAGGATAAACTTTGGCAAGTTCTATCAAGTAAGACACTAGTGCTGGATTGTATCCCTGTTTGTTAACCAACCTACCTAGTCAGATTCAGAAAAGCTTGTTATCAGAGAGGCTATAGGGTGATTAAAAATTTTTTTTTGGCCACAGAAATTCCCCCACACCATCTATTAGGTTAATAAAGGGGTTGGGGCCTGTCAATGGAAGGAGTTTTCACATTGATGAAATCAGGATCCTTCCTAAAGAAAAAGAAACCAAACCAGTCCCAGATTGACACTTAAGCTATCCTTTGGTAGCTTCATTAACATGGTATTAAATATATAGATTAATTTAGGTAGTAATACCAGTTTTATTATGTTGGCTTGATCTATCCAGTAGCAATTCATATTTTATAAATTAATTAGATCTGTCTTTATTTGTGTAAAGTGTTTTATAATCATGTTGGATGTAGTTCTTGTATGTGTTTTGACAAATAGATTCCCAAGTATTTTATATGGTCCATGGATATTATAAATGAAATTTCTCCGTCTCTGCTGAATTTTGATAGTTATTATGTAGAAATACTGATGATTTGTATGAATTTATTTTAATTTGTGCTACTTTGCTGAAGTTGTTGATTGTTCCATTGAGGTTTTTATTTGACTCTCTAGGGTTCATTCAACCATCATATCATTTAGAAAATGGTCATTTTGTTTCCTCTTTGCCTGTGTTGCTTCAATTTTTTTTGTCTTATTACTATCGCTAGCATTTCTAGCACAATATTGAATAGTAAAAATGATACTACACATCCTTGCTTTACCCATGAACTTATTGGGAAGGCCTCTAGCTTATCCCATTGTCCCCAGTGTTGGTTCTTGGTTTTAGATAGATGCTATTTATTATTTTAAAGGAGGTTCCATTAATACTATGATTTCTAGTTTTTTTTTTTAAACAGGAATAGGTATTATATCTTGTCAAAAGCTTTTTCCATATTTATTGGTGACACTTAGACTGACCTAATCTTAAGCTAAAATTACCTGACTAGTGATCCTCTCTAGGTAGAAAGTTTTAGCCACAGTGACCAAGCCTACTCTCTCTCTGTCTCTCAGTTCCAGAGGAGAATGGTGTCTTCAGTCTCAGAATACTAAACTAGTTCTGAGATTTACCCATTTGAGCACACTGTACCCATCTCAATGGTTCATCATTCCAATCGTTAGCTCACTTTCAGCCAATTAGGAAATTGTTTGGTGTTTTTGAGTAAATAATTTTCCCTCCCTTAGAGTAGGAAAAGGGACAGAAAGAACTTTGAGATTCATAGCATCTGGAGCTAGAAAGCAACTTGGAGATCATAGTCGAATCCCCAGATCTTATAGACGAGGATGAGATGCTGGGAGGCAAAGTTCTTCCCATAACCTCAGAATTGCAACCCAGGCCTCCCCTTTCTCTGGAGTTGCTAGTGCTGCTATTCTCAATGCCTCATTGGAAAGACAGACCTGTTTGTAAACATGCCACCTCATCTCTGTGAGTCAGTATGAGTTAGACCACTCAGTTGTGCAGAAGACAGTTACATGAGGGCATAGAGTAGAACCCAAAAGAGATCATTTAATTCATCCCTCTTTGTTTTACAGAGGAGGAAGCTGACGACTAGAGAAGTGATTTTTCCCAGTGTCTCACACCAAGAAGCAAGGGAAGGAATTTGAACTTAAGTCACCTAATTCTAATTCCAGCATTCTTTCTCCCATGCCACAGGTAGCCAGCCCCCAACCTAAAGAGAGAGAAGAAGCAGGAAGCCCATTGGAGTTTTATTTTTCCTTAGATAAATTTTATATAGAATGTATTAAAGTCAATAGCCTTTGACTTTAATCCAAAGAGAACAAGTTATTGCAGTTGTATTCAGTGGACATAACAGTGATGGGGAAACATTCTAGAAAAGCTGTCTCATTGTTGTCTTGAAATGATAACTGTCTGGAAACCAACACAAAGTGCATGAAGAGGCCTTGAGGTGGGGAAAGGAGTGCACAGGGGGACAGAAACTCAGGAAGTGAAAAAGCAGATTCAGCCAGTGTCACAAGTGGCATTGGGGGGCACTCTCTGGCTGCCCAAACTCCCCCTAGCCCATCCATATTTGAGTTTGGAAATGAAAAGGCAAGGTGAGGAGTAAATTTCTGGGCATTTCATGGGATCCTAAATCAGCCCCTCCGGAGCTCATGGAGTTTGTGGGCAACCTTCTCCAGCTCTGCCTCAATGGCTGCCAGACTTTCCAGCTCTTGGTCCTAGAAAACACAAGTGGAAAAGGAAGTAAGGTCCATTCATTGGATCCCTTCTGCAACCCTGGTAGGTTTTAGTAAGATGCTGCTACTAGAAGGAACTTCTAGGGGTCATCTAGTCCAGCCTTCAGATAGAGCTACACTTAATTCACCAGCCAGATTGGTGCTGTGTCCTCATTTCTAGAGCAAGAGGAAATGTAAACACACAAGTCACATTTGCTATCCATGGAACCAATCTTAGGACTTCCTATACTGACTCTAGCCCTAAAGTCAGGTGTGACCTGGGATTGAATTTATAGTGAACTGGATGTGTTACCCTGGGCAAGTAAAAAAAAAAAAAATGGAGCTAACATGATTTATACTACCTTTCTCTTGGAGTGACTTGGTAAGTACTTTGTAAACTTCAAAGCATTATAGAAATATGAGCTGCTATTATTATGTTGAAAGAGCCCTAATCTTCACAAATTATGGGGGCTTTGGGACCTAGAAGTGATCCTCTTTGAAAACACAGACACCTCATTGGGGAAGAGCCCAGGATAGTGTAGTGCATTGGTGTCAGACTCAAAACAGGGCCACTAATCCATGCATAAGGCATAGAGACTTAGTTTTAAAATGCAGTTTTTATCTCTATCTTTTTGTATTTTTATTAATTTTGCTGAATGTTTCCCAATTACATTTTAATCTGATTCAGCAGCAATTGGGAGCTATGTGTTTGACACCTCTGGTATAGGGGATAGAATTCTGAGTAGGAAAGACCTAGATTGAGATCCCATCAACCACAATAGAGAAGTTAAGTCACTTGCTCAGAGTCACACTTCTCTGTTTTGGTTTCTTCTTCTGTGGGAGTCTTGCTGGCCTTTAAAGTCTTTTCCAGACACTAGCTGTGTGACCCTAGGCAAATCACTTCACCCTGTTTTTAAATGTATCTATAAACCCAAGTTTATAAATAAATTGTTCAGAGGTCAGCACTCGACTTTGAAAGTGTCTGCCTATGGTATAGGGGAGTTCGGAAGCTTTGGATTCTAAGCTTCCTGAAGCATGAGTCCCATTTGTAGCGATCCTGACAAGTGGCTGTTCCACCACTCGGAAGACCTTCAGCAACTGGAAACGATAACCCCTATTAGAAGTTCTTTCTCATGCCGAGTCAACATCTGCCTCCTTTCAACTCCAGATCAGAGGATTTTAGGGTTGAAAAGGATCTCGGAGTTCATCTAGTTCAACCTCCTTTTACAAATGAAGAAGCTCAGGCCTGAGGTAAAGTAACTCATGCTTAGTCACACAGCAATTAAGGGGCAAAGCTGAGATTCAGAGTTGAAACTCTCCCACTCCTAATCTAGCATTCTTTTCATTATACCGCTACCCCAGGGTCCTAGTGCAGTCCTCTTTCCTGGGACAGCTCTTCAGACAAAAATCTTCTCTTCCGTGAGTGCCCAGGCCTGGTGCTCCAGTAGCTTAGTCTGGCTGGGGAGAGGAAGCTAACCCACAAGAAACAATTAGCCCTAAGAAGGCACTGCCTCCTGTTAGGTGCTGAAGCATTCCATAGGAGGACAAGAGCTGCAGGGGCTGGAGTAATCAGAAAAGGCTTCCTAGACTGCAGAATTGGAGCTGTGCCTTGAAGAGAAGTATTTTTCTCCGCATGCTGAGGTGGCATTTTTTGGTTCTATTTGTTTTGAATGAAACCTAGTCCATCTAGCCCTTAACGAGGAACTCTCTCTGCTAAAGCAGGTAATTGCCTCGGAATTGTCTAGATCCCGGAGGGACTAAGTAACTTACCTTGGTCCACAAAGCCAGTATGTGTCAGAGGTGGCACTTGAACCCAGGTTAGAATTGGGAATGTTGAGGTAGTGCCTCTAAACCAGAGCTTTCTATTCACTGAAGCAAGCTGCCTCTCCAGACTGAGTTTTTTCATTTGGGGACTGAGCTCGTTCTAACAATGTGTGAATGTCCTGGCCTGAGACTGGGATGGGTCCCAGCTGCTCTTCATGAGCTCAGGAGCCTTGTTAGCTGAGGCAGCGATACCCTGACTTAAATATCCAGAAAAGCCACCTGCCCCTCTGGGAGCCCACCTCGTTCATGGATTGGAACTGGAAATGACCTTAGAGGCCAAGTCCAGCAACCTTCTTGTACATACGAGAGAGTGACTTGTCTCTAGTCACAGCTAATAAGGAATGGAGCTGAGATTCCCATGAAACCTTGGAATCTGGCGGAGCACACCCAGGTTTCTGAGCCTGGTTTAGGGCTTTTTCTCCTACCCCAAGCACTAGGACCACGAAGCGTTGAAGTCAGAATCTTACCAGCCTTTGTTAGACCTAGCTCTTCTGAGCAATGCGATGATCTAAGACAATTCCGAAAGACTCATGATGGAAAATACTATCCACATCCAGAGAAAGAACTATGGAGTCTGAATGCAAATCAAAGCATACTATTTTCTCCTGCTTTTTTTATCTTTCTCGTGGTTTTCTCCTTTTGTTCTGATTCTTTTTTCACAACATGACTAATGTGCAAATATGTTTAATGTTATTGTACATGTGTAGCCTATATCAGATTGCATGCCATCTTTGGAAGGGGGAAAAATTTAGAACTCGTAATTTTATAAAAGTGAATGTTGAAAACTAAAACTTTAAAAAAAAAAAAAAAGAATTTCATCAGGGCCTCTTTTCTTAAAAGCTTACCCTACTGTAGGAAGGGTCATTCTAGCCTAGACTCCCTTCCCCATACTTGGTGCCCTCCTGGGTAGGCAACATTGGTGCAGTAGAATTCTAGGGGCAGCTAGGTATTGCAGGGGATAAGAGCTCTAGGCTTAAATACTACTTCAGACACCAGCCGTGTGACCTTGGGCAAATCATTTAACCTGTTTGTCTCAGTTTTCTTAACTGTAAAATGGGAATTGCAATAGAACCTACCTGCTATGGTTTTTTGTAGGGATTAAATGAGAGATTTGTAAAGTGTTTAGCACAATGCTTGGCACATAGTAGATGTTATATAAATATTATCATTATGGTATTGTTGGATTTAGAGTCAGAGGATATGGATTTGAATCTCAAATTTGCCACTTACCACCTGTGTGATCATAGGCACATCAACAACTTTGTTGGCCCTCAGTTTCCATCTGTAAAATGAAGGGATCGAACTAGACCATCCTTATCAGCCCTAGGGTGTCTGGAGGACAGAGGCTACCCTTATTTGGATCTGCCCCAGGGGTTAAGGGTTATGTTGACCAGGCCCTCAAACTAGCTTTTAAGTTGAAAATGCTAGCTTGGGGCTGGGAGAAAAAATCTTACTGCCTAAGGGATGAACCAGCTCCCTCAGAGAAGAGGAGTCCCCAAGAATTGTCTTGTTCAAGGCCCTCCTCAGAGCTGGAAGGGACCTTGGTGATCCTTTAATCGAACCCCATGATTTTACAGAAGACTTAGACCCAAGAGAAGAGGATGTACTTGCTCCAAATCATACAGACATTCGAAGCAGAACTGGAATTCAAACCTGAGTCCTCTTTATGCTTCGTGATCTTGGGTCACACAGCTAGCTATTGCCGGAGCTGGAACTCGAACCTGCAGGATCCTGATTCTAAATCCAGTGGGCTTCGCCTGCATCAGGGTATTTCTGCATTGGTGTGCTCGTGGCTGCCTGTTCCCCCTCTTCCCCCGAGATCACTCCCTGCTACCCTGTTAGCATACGCACCTCTGTCCTTCGGTTAGCACTTCCCTCCTCTTCCTTCTTCTCATCTGGGTCGCCCCTGACGGAGGGAGGCAGGCCCGCCTCGATGCTGTCCTCTCTGGAGTGGGCCTTCCAGGTTCTCCTCTGCAGCCCCAGGGGACGCCCAAAGTCGTGCTCGGGGGATCGGAAGGAGAGTTTCATGGACCGGTCTGGCTCTTCCTCGCTGTCACTGTCGCTCTCCTCCAGCCGCTTCTTAGCTGTCAGCTCTCTGGCCAGCTCATCCATCTTGTTCCACCTCTTGGAGTCCTCCCATTCTTTGGAGAGTTCCTCCTCCAGTTCCTGACTCTTGCTGTCCCCTGGGCTGAAGATGTCTTCGGCGGCTGCCGCTTCCTCCTCGGAACGTCGGCTCAGACCCTTTTCTTCCTGGGACCTAGCCTCCTCTTCCATGACCTTCCCTTCTCCATTGAGATCCAGTGCCTCTGGTTGACCTGGAGCAGTTGAGGGAAAAGAACAAAAGGAAATGAGCCGATTAGCAGTTGGCTCTGCGGCCAATCTTACTCCTGGCCTACTTACTTATCCACTGGCTATGTGAGGTTCTGCAGAGTCCTCTCCTAGGTCCTTTATCTGCTGCTGGTTTATCCATGCGGTGAGACCAATGTGGGCACTGAGCAGTAAGGCGGCTAGCACTGAACCAGGTGCTGTCACCACATACCAAACCTAGCAGGATTGTTCCTAACTGGGGCAGATTGAAAAGGACACACTAGGATTACCACTTTATTGAACTACAAATAACGTCTTCTCTTTCCTTAAAGGAAGAGTGACCCCTGGAGAATCCTTTGAAGGAAAGGAAACAGGCATTTATTAAACCCCTTCTGTGTGCCAGACTAAATGCTTTGCAAATATCTCATTTAATCATCACAATTGTGGGAGGGGAATGCTATTATTATCCCACATTTTACAGATCAGGAAACCAAGGCAGACAGAGGTAAAGTGACTTGTCCAGGGTCATACAGCTAGGAAGTATCTGGATTTGAACTCAGGTCTTCCTGACTCTTAGTCAGCACTTCTTGTGTTATCATTCTGTATTTTAAGGTCCTTTCCAGCTTTAACATTCTATGTTCTGAGGCCCCTTCCAGGACTAACACTTTATGTCAGTAAACACATATTTATTAAGCTACATGGTAGGCACTGTTTTTAAACAATCTATGTTTTTAACATTCCATATTCTAAGATCTTTTCTAGCTGTAACGTTTGATGTTTTGTGTGCTAATATTCCAAGTTCTAGGAGCAGCTAGGTGGTGCAGTAGATAGAGCACCAGCACTGAAGCCAGGAGGACCTGAGTTCAAATCCAGTCTCAGACCGAACACTTGACACTTACTAGCTGTGTGAACCTGGGCAAGTCACTTAGCCCCAAATTGCCTTAAAAAATAAGTAAATAAAAAGAAAACATTCCAAGTTCTAAGGTCCTTTCAGATTTGAGAGATTTTTGTGGATCGTCTTTGGCTTCCTGTGGTCCTCCTTTAGCCTCAGAACCATTTTGGAGCTGGTAGTCTTGGGTTCTGATCCTAGGGCACCCGGAAGAGAAAAAACAAACCTAAAAGGAAGCTGTGTTTAGCCGCTCTGAGTAAGTGGTTTGGCAGGGTACAGACTTGTAAGTTTACTAAGCACTGTCTTCAAAGTAGTTGTGTGACATAGGGAATACATGATGTGTATTTCTTATTTTACAAATGAGGAAACCAAGGCCTAGAATAGATGTGGAACTTGCCCAGAATCAAATAGCTAGTGGTAGATTCAAACTCAAATCTTCTCATTTCCATGACCAGGGGGCCACAATTGCCATCAAGCAAATAGGGCTGCTAAGTGGCACAGTGGGTAAAGCACCTGGAGTCAGGAGGACCTGGCTTCAGACACTTGCTGGCTGTGTGAGGCAGGGTGAGTCACTTCACCCTGTTTGCCTCAGTTTCCTCATCTGTAAAATGGGCTGGAGAAGGAAATGGCAAACCACTCCGGTATCTTTGCCAAGAAAACCCCAGAGTCAGACATGACTGAACAATAACAACTAGCCCCAAGTCACCTCTTCAATCTCTTTCTCTGTTTTGATAGTTTAATCAACTAGTTGATTGAGTACCTTCACGTTAGCCTGGTTCCCACTACACTCCAGGGTCACACAGCTAGTAAGTGTCAAGTGTTTGGTCTGAGGCTGGGTTTGAACTGGGAGCCTCCTGACTTCAGGGCCGATGCTCTATCCACTGCACCACCTAGCTGTCCCACTCCATTCTTGCCATGCATCTCACTTCTATGTATTTGCTCAAGTTTTCCCCAACCTGGGATTTCCATCCCTCCTCTTCTCAGCCTACCTTAATCTTTTATTTTATTCTACAAGGCCTAAGTCCCTCCCCCTTTTGCCATGAAATCTTCCCTGAGTGACTATGATAGCTCTCGGTATCTGCTCCTCTGAACTCTTCAAACTTAATAGCAATGCCACCCTTAAAGCCCTTAGTGTATGCTGTTTTGTTGATTTCTTTAACTTCTTTTGTATTTATACTTCATCTTTTTGCATTCGTGTTTAATTTTCTGAGACCGCATCATGTATCAGAAAGAGTACTGTGACCTCGGAGTCTGGAATCCTGGAAACCTATCACAGTTTTAACGCTTATTAGCTTTATTGGTAAAGTAACTTGTCTGAACCTCAATTCCCTCATCCATGAAATAGGGGCAGTCATACTACTACCTACCTCAAGGTTATTTAAGAAAATCACTTTGTAAGAATTAAAATGCTTTCTAAATGTTGGCTTTTTGTGTCATTTATGTCATAGATTATGAGCTCAAAGGCACCTTAGATCCCATGTAGTCTGACTCCCTCATTTGATAGATGAGGAAGTGAGGCCCAGAGCTGTTGACTTGCCCAGGGTCACATAGCTAGTAAGTGCTAGAGCCAAAATTTTAACCCAGGTCCTCTGACTTCAAATCCAGTGTTTTTTCTGTGTACTGTGTAACCGATACTGTTGTTTTAGTGGAAATAATAATAAAAACAACTTATGTTTATGTAAGTGCAAAGCACTTTACATTATTTCATTTGATCCTCATAATAACTTGTTGAGAAATAGGATGTGTATATCTTTTTCTTTGGTCTTTATGTCTTTGAGGCACCATGGTACAGTGGAAGGAGCACTGGGCTGAGAATTAAGAGATGTGGGTTCAAGTCACAGCACTGATACTTAATACCTAGATGACCTTGAGTAAGTGAACTTCCCTAGACCTCATTGAACTCATCTCTGAAATGGGACAATCATACTTGACCTGTGTACTTACAGGGTTGTTGTGATTTAAGGGATTTGTGAACTGCAAATTACTGTGTAAATAAGAGCTCTTGTCATTATTTAAGCCCTCAAACCAAGCCTGGATCTTAATTGCAAATTCATTGAGAAGGAATTCATCTCTCTGTGCCCAATGGCAGGCAAATACACAGCCAGGGATTTACTGGGGGGAATGTGGTCATCCAGGATCGTGGGACACTTAGGAAGGGCCATACATACTGTCTCCCCGTGAAGTCTCCTCATTCTCATGGAGGGGTGAGCTGGTGCCAAGTGCACTGGTGGGACCTTCTTCATCCGATGCTTCTTGGTTTCCTGCTAAGGCCAGATGAGCTGCTGCCTCCTCCTCTTCTTCCTCCTCCTCGTCATGTGCCTCCTCATCTCTCTTGGAGCTTTGTTCCTCCTTTTTGAGATCCAGGCTCTCCTGAGAATCAGTGGGCTGGTCCTTGCTGTCTTCGCTGGACTTTGGGGCTAAGTGCTCCTCTTTGGTCAGGCCACTGGCCAGGGTACTTTCCAAGTTCACCTCCTCGGAGGCCTTGCTGATCTCATTGCTCTCCGAGTCCTCCTTGGCTTCCTTGGGGTCGGTCTCTTTGGGCTGGGCTTCTCTTTCTTCCAGGCTCTTCTCCTCTTTAGACTCGGTGGCATCTTCATCAGGCTTCTCAGGGGAGGCATCCTTCAATTCCTCTGCAAGGTGGAAACAGAAAAAAACAGGCCTTGAAAACAAATCTCATGGTTACCCAGCAGACTCACTGGAAAGTCAATTTCAGATAGATCAACCTTCCTGTTTCTTCTTCTGTGAGTAGAGCTGCCTGTCATCCATTCACTCATCATTTACGAAGCACCTCAGTCTAAGAAGCGCTGTGCTAGCTAGGGGAGAAAGTACAAGATTTAGACAAGCCAGAGTCCTGCTCTCAGAGCTCTCAATCTAGTTATAGCTTCTGTCTCCTGGTCTCCAGCACTAATGTCTAACCTTTCCAGGGTTACTTGAATAATCACACAAGATAGTGCCTTCCTGGATTACAAAGACAGTAGGCAATGTGGATTCTATGTGAATTGAAGATAGGCAGCCTGTTGTATTGGATAGAGTGCCGGTTATGGAATCCAGAACTGGGTTCAGATCCTACCAGTGACACTAGTCATTGGTCACTTACCTTCTCGGTGGTTCAGAAAATTTCTAGGATTTACATATAACAAAAAGATGGGTTACATAATCTGTTTTATAGTGGAGGGAGGCTCCCGCACAGTCAGAAGTCATACAATGTTCATATATTTGCATTTGAATTGAAACAAAACCATTATTAGTAAATCCTTCACTTAAACCATTAGATGATGCAATGGACTCTACTATAGATAGCTCTGTCAAGCTCTGTAGAGAGCTGGGCCAGGAGTCAGGAGGGCCCGAGTTCAAATTCTACCTCAGACACCTGTCAGCTGTGTGGCTCTGGACAAGTCACTTAACCTCTGCTTGCCTTAATCCACTGGAGAAAGAAATGGTAGACAGTCCTGTATCTTTGCCAAGAAAACCCCGTGGACCACATGGTCCATGGGGTTAGGAAAAGACTAAGACTTGGTCTTGTCTTAGGACAAGACTCAACAACAACAGCAAATAATAAGAGATAGCATTGACTAGACTCAAAACTGGGAAACTTGGGTTCAAATAGTAATAACAGCAAGAATTCACACAGCACTTTCAGGTTTGCAGCATGCTTTACAAATATCTCACAACAACCCTGGGAGGTAGGCGCTGTTATTATTCTCATTTTACAGATGAGGAAACTGAGGCAGACAGGTTAAATGACTTGCCCTGGGTCACACAGATAGCAAGTGTCTGAGGCCAGATTTGAACTCAGGAAGAAGAGGCTTGCTGACTCCAGGTCCATCCAACTATCCACTTCACTACTTAGCTGCCTAATCCCAGACCCCTCACTGACATGCTACCCAACTTTAACCAAGTCATTTAACCTCTTTAGGTAATGGGGACAATATGCACAACCTCACTCTGACCCTGTTCTTTATTCAGTAGGATTTTGATGTGACTAGTTCATCTTGAATCCTGTTGGAGGAGGATTATCACTTAATTAAAAGGACCTTATTAAAATTACAGAATCACAGAAACCCAGTTAGTGTTGGAAGACGCTTTAGAAACAAATCTAGTCCCACTGGCCCTTAAAACACAAATCCCCAACAAGGTTCTGTCCAGCCTTCTCTTAAAGACCTCCAGTGACGGGGAGCTCCCTATCTTTCCAGGCAGTTCATTCCACTTTTGGAGAGTCCAAGTGGACATTACATCGAGGCTTCTTTGTAAAGCCTCTGCCACCTTTCTTCATGAGACATTATTAGAAGGATCAGAGACCTGAAAGGGACCTTAAAGACCATCTACTCCAACAACTGAGGCCTAGAGAGATGAGATGCCTTGCCCAAGATCACAAAGCAGAGCCAGTGATACCAACCCAGGCTCTGTCATGCTTCTCCAGAGGGTCTGAAGTCATTTTCAGTCATATTTGACTCTTGGTGACCCATTTGGTTTTCTTGGCAAGGATATTGGTTTACTTCTCCAGAATCATTTTACAGTTGAGGAAACTGAGGCAAACAGGGTACAGTGACTTGCCCAGGGTCGCACAGCTAGTGCCTGAGGCCAGATTTGAATTCTGGTCTTCCTGACTCTATCCACTTCACCACCTAACTGCCCAATGTACATAAAGTATTTGGTGAAATCTGAAAGTGGAGGCAGCAAGACATAGCAGATAAAGAACCGACTCTGGAGTCAGGAAGGCCTGGGTTAAAGTCAAACTTTAACCCATACTGGCTGAGTGACCTTGGAGAGGTCACTTAACCCCTCAGTGCCTCTAAGTTACAGAGCAGTTGTTGTTTGGCATTTGTTAGAGGGCTTTCTTCACCATGATCTGGAGCTGGAAGGGACCCTTGAGACCAGCTAGCCCCATTCCCTCATTTTACACATGAGTAAACTGAGGCCCAGGGAGGTTGAGTGACTTGTCCAAAGTCACATAAGCAGGATCCTTCATTTTGTTGAATCTCAGTTAATTCATCTATAAAATGAAGTTGGATTATGTAGGTTTGGATCCTCACCCTTAAAAAAAAAAAGCACTACATAAAGGTATTATTTATGGAGTTATTATTTATATTATCATCATTGTAATTATTAAAAATTGTCTACATAACTTCATCCAGAGAGATGTTATGAAAAAAAAGCTAGGTTTGCCCAGAACTCGGGAGGACCTGAGTTCAAATCCGGCCTCAGATGCCTGACGGTAGCTGTGTGACTCTGGGCAAGTCACTTAACCCCAATTGCCTCACCAAACCAAAAAACAAAAACTGAGAGGCTAGATCTGGATTTTGACCCCGATTCTGCTCCTAAATAGTTGTGTGACGTGACATTTGGCGAAACCACTATGGTCTCTTCCAGCCCTGATTTCCCCATCAGGCATATGGAAAGTAGAGTCTGTCTACCTGAGCTAGGGCAAGGTAATCTTTCATTTTCCTCAGAGGCCATCATCGGCACCCAGGTAAGTTTAGATTTAAAGTCCAGGGCATAGGCAAAGTACATTTTGGGGTTATCATTGCCAAGTTGGAGAAGATGGCACAAGGCTAACAGAGGCCTGTGTGTGACCCAGATTGGGCCTTGTTAGGAAGCTCTTTGACATGGGAAAACTCTCCAGCATCAGGAAAGATGATCCCTGTTTACCTGGGGGCTTGGAAACTGCTCAGCTCAGGCCTTGCTGACTCATCCAGGTCTAAATCACACGGCCACCTTGGGCATCCCTGCTACAAGTGGGGCTTAGGCTGCTCAGGGGGTGACGCTTTAGCTACCGAGGAGGTCAATGAGAACATCTCTGTTGTTAACACAACATCCTGGTGTGTCAAGGGGGAAATGGTCGATCTGGTACTGACCCTTCTCAATGGTCTCTTCATTATTTGGGCTCTCAAGGACTTCAGAAAGTTCATCTTCAAAACCTCTGTCTTTCTTTTGCTGCTGGGCTCTCTCACTGGCACCTGGGTTGGGGAAAGGGAGAAGGAAAAATCACAGCCCCTAAAAGAACAGTGTTTCAGCTTTTCTAACACTTGAGATGGAGAAAAAGGCATGGACCTCAGTTTTTTCATCTGTAAAATGGTTCCAGTGATTCCTTATCCTGACCACCTCATAAGGATTGTATATAATGAATATATAATAATAATGAATAATGAATGTAACTTAAAGGAATGATGATGTAGAAAGAGTGCTGGATTTAGAGTCAGAGGACCTGAGTTATAATCCCAAATTTATTACCACTCCTTTGACATGTAAAAAAAATTTTGAGTTCTGAATTCTCTCCCTCCCACCCATTGAGAAAGCCAGAAATGTGAAATCAGCTATAAATATGAAATCATGCAAAACATTTCCATATGTTGCTAGAAAAATAAAGTGAAAAATGCTTCAATCTGCACTCAGCTCCATCAGTTCTCTCTCTGGAGGTAGATAGCATTTTTCATCATAAGTCCTTCAGAACTGTCTTAGATCACTGTATTGCTGAGAATAGCTAAATCGTTCACAGTTAAATACTGCTGTTACTGTGCACAGTGTTCTCCTGATTCTGCTCACTTCACTTGGCATGAATTCATGTAGGTCTTTCCAGGTTTTTCTGAAACCATCCTGCTTGTCATTTCTCGTAGCACAATAGTATTCCATCACAATCATATACCACAACTTGTTCAGCCATTCCCCAACTGATGGACAGATGTAAAGTTCTTAAAGCCCAGGCCTGGCCACGTCCCTGCTCTACTGCCATTAGGATAAAAGATGAGTTTTTCTGTTTGGCGTTTACACATCTTCACAACCTGGCTCTCGGATTATTGTGCGTTACTCCTTTGTGCACTCTCTTCTAGCCAAACTGACCCCCTTGCTGTTTCCTATACAGAACATTCCATCTCCATGCCTTTTGCACAAGATGTGCCCAGTGCCTCGACTGTGGTCCTCTTCATCTCTATGTCTTAGAAACCCTGGCTTCCTTCAGGCTCACTTCAAGGGCCACTTCCTACGGGAAACTCATCCTGATCCTCCTTCCAGTGCCCTGCCTCTTTGAAATTACTGTGTATGTTTTTAATAGTCCCTTATTCTGTGTACTTATGGTTTCCCTTCAGTTGATCAAGTCCCTTGAAGGCAGGGACTATTTTGGTTCTCTTTTTTCCTCTGTGCTTAGCACACAGTAGGTGCTTAATAAATGCTTGTTAATAATAATAATAAATTAATTAATGCTTAATAAATGAGGTCACAAAACTAGTAACAGATATGAGACTCAAAAGATCCCCTTACTGTTCCAAGTTCCTAAGATTTTATGATGCTAAGACTAAACCCCAGACTTCCCGATTCCTAGTTTAGGGCTCTTTTCCCCCCTCTGTGTCCTACCATTCTTCTATGTAGGGACAGAGCCAACCAGTTCCAGTGGTAGGGAGGGAGGTAAGAGGCTAAGAGAGGGACATGGGGAAAGACTGGAGAGAAGGAATGAGCTTCATGTGAAGCCCACTGAGCCAGAAATGAGGCTCAGTCAAGGGAGGTAACAAGAAGAGACTCAGAAAACTATTGATTTTGAAATAGCAATGCCAAAGTCAGAGGAGTCAGCTAAGGAGGATGGAAGGTTGGGAAACCTTTTTGGGAATTGTCAGAAACACTCATGTTCCCATGGAAGTTACCCAGCAAGGAGCAGAGAACCATCCTCAGCTTTAAGCAGCTCCTGTTGCACCAGCATTTGGGAGGTTGGGTAGGGAGGGTCCAGAGTAAGGACACACTAGGGACAATGCAGCTCTAAACATGAACACCAGGATACATAAATTACTTCCATCAAAGGACAGAGAGCTAGATCCAGAGAGCACCTTTTCTAAATAACTTCATGGAAACACAGAATACTGGAATGGGAAAAAACTTTAGAACACCGGATGTTAGCTCTGGAAGTAATGTTAGAACTTAAGAAGAAAATGTTAGAAATGAAATGGACCTAAGAACATAGGATGTTAGCATATAAAATGTTAGAATGTGAAGGCAGCCTTAGAACCTAGATGGTTAACCCAAAAAGCATAGTATTTTAAAGCTGGAAGGTAACTTAAAGGTCATCTTATCCAAATCCTTCATTTTATAGATAAGGACATTGAGGCCCAGAGAGGTGTTTTTTTGCCCAAGATCACCAGCAGCTTAAATGACAGAATGAAGTATTGAATGTGCCTCTCCTGACTTCCATTGCAGTATTCTTTCTGTCTCATCGTGCTGCCCCTTGACCAATACTAACCTCAAGGGTTTCAATCATGGTGTCTGTGGTTCCCTGGAAGGGGAGGGCATTGATCCTTAGAATAAACCAGAGTATCTCAACTGTCTTTAGTTGTGGCCCAGTGGTAGTTGTGAGGAGACAGAGCAGGTTTGATCTTGCTCTAATTCTGGAGGCATCAAGGGTGAGTTGGTGGACCCAGTTACCTTGGATGCATACCAGAAGTCACTGGTCCCAGGACTGGCTCAGGGACCAGGTAAAACTACTCCACCAAGATTCCTTTCACTCCTAAAGAGAGAATCCACCCTCAGGGCTAAGGATGTACTTAGGCAGGGTACTCATTTCATTCAGGGGCCCAAGAGCAAAAGTGTAGGGCTCCCCAAATGACCACTCAGTTCCAGCATCCCAGGCAAACCCTGGCTCACAGCTAAGCTTGCCAGAAAGGGGAACTTTAGAACTTTACAAGAGGGCAGGCATAGAAGTATAATGGAAATAACATGGGATCTAGAGTTCAAGGACACCAGTTCAAGTCTAATTTCTGCTACTTACTGTGTGACTTCAAACAAATCACCTCACCTCTCTGGGCCCGGGCTTCCCTTCTATGAAATGAAATGATTGTAATACATTATGTGTTATTATCTCTTCTAACTCTAAATTCTGTGCTCCTCCAGCCTACCTAGAAAACCTCAAAATGGGCTGAAAACGATGATCTGAGCAAAGCTAGAAAGCTGCACTCAGGATGGCAGGATGCTCCTTCTAAAAGAAGATGTGGAACCCAAATTAATAATAATAATAATTGGCTGTCAAACTACTCTTTGTGGGCAAATGGTCATTATTAAAAGTGTCTTCTGTCTTTCAGAAATAGGATTATCTGCCAACACTTTAACCAGGGAAAGAGATTGCCCTGGGTTGCCAGTGCCTCCACCAGAATAAAGTTATTCTCAGAGACCTCAAGTTTGGTAACCTCTGGGGTCACCAATGCTAATGTCTGAGGCAACATTCAAATTCAGGCCTTCCTGATTCGAAGACTAGTGTTCTCATACCTGCCTGGCTGCCTCTGGGACGGTGAGATCAAACTCAAATAGAAATAGGGACCACTAATCTGTGGCTGTAAGGATTCCTATAGGCCATATATTGACTTAGCTGTAAATTGTCATGTTGCCTCTGTTCTACTCTATTTTTATTTATTTGGTTAAATATTTCCCATTTGCATTTTAACCTGGTTTGGGCAGCATTCAGGAGCATTGTGGTGGCATATGCTGCATGTTTGACACCTCCACCATTAGAGGATCTTGGATTAGTAACCGGCATATGGAGTATGCTGGGGATCAGAAGAGGATACTCCATAGAACACCTAACACTGTGGTCCTTAGGCTGTGAAACGAGAAAGGCCACGCCTTCTAGATGCATTGGGAGTACCATGTACTCCTTATTGGTGAGCAGACCCCCATTGAAACTTCTTGTCTAATTGAGACCTACATCTGGATCAAGAAGAAGGAAGATGTCATTCCCAAGGTAGCATGAGCCTCCAAGTAGACCTACTACAGACTGAAGGTCTTTCTGGCTGTATCATGGGCCAGAGGCTTCTGTGTCCAATACCTATCTCTCAGGCTCCACTCAAGTTGTTTAATGACACCATTTGGGTTTGTTTGTTTTTTTTTATTTGTTTGTTTTTTTAACCAAGATGCTGGTGTGGGTTGCCATTTCTTTCTCCAACTCATTTTATAGATGAGGAAACTGAGGCCAACAGGGTTAAGTCACTTCCCATGGTTCACACAGCTGAGGTGTGACTGAGGTTGGATGTGAACTCAGGAAGATGAGTCTCCCTGACTCCAGGCCCAGCACCGTGCCCCTAGCTGCCCTTCTACTCTAGTACCACCTCCTAAATGAATTCTATCCTGACCTTCCTTCCCCATAGTATCCAACCCCCTGGAAATTTATTTTGCATATGTTTTGTAGTTACTTATTTGTGTCCATATTGTTCCTTGGTTGAATTAAATAAGTTAAATCTTTCTTTCACATGAGAGCCCTTTAGATAGATGAAGGCAGCAATCCTGTCTCCCTCCCCTCCCCCTGCTCCCCAAAATAAGAAGGCTCCTTGAGAGTGGGGGCCTTTTCAGGTTTGTGTTTTGTATGCCTGGCACATAAATGCTAAATAAATGCTTGTTGAATGAACGGAAATGAAATCTTACTGCCTCTGGAATGTTTATTGGTTTGATTCTGCCTTATATCTCAGATCACAGCTGGGGGATTCAAAGAAAGGACACATGAGAGAGTGGAGAGAAGACCCGCGTTTAAATATTGACCTACTAACTATATGATTTTTGGCAAATCACTTCCCAGCATGGAGAGGCTGTGATACTAAGTCTGCTTCTTACTGGGGAGAGGGAACTAATTTGCACTCTCAGCTGTCAGTCATTTTTGTGGTCACATGAGTCACTGATGGTGCTATTTGGGTAAATAGTCTTGGATTTAGATTCATATACCGGCTCTCCAAATTAGATTTCAGAATAGTCTTTGGGCAGTGCTGGGCCAGGGACTTCCAACACAGTCAGAAACAAAGGACTACCTCTGAGAAACTCTCATTTGCTCATTAAGATGCATTATAGGAGCTAGTAAATCACTCACTCCCAGACAAAAACCTGAGAGAGAGAAATTATTCCAACAGCACTATTGTAAGTCACTGTCTGGCACGAAGGAAACCTTCCCTGAGTCAGTGAACCTTGCTTGTTCACTCCTTATAGGGCACATCCAAGCATCCCTGTTAGTGAGGTTTGGGGTGTCAAGGAAGAAAGCAGGGGACCCTATGACTACAGTTTAACTTGTGGATAATAAAGGGAAGGAAACTCTTTGTGCTTTGAGTTCCCCACAATTAAACTGAAAGCACTTCTGAAATGACAGGTGATGTAATAGAGCACTAGGCTGGGACCCTGGAGAGCAGCATGGCATAATGTATAGAGTACATGACTTGGAGTCAGGAAGACCTGGGTTTGAATCCACACTTACTATGTAACCTTGGGCAAAGCAATTAACTTCTCTGAGGCTCATTTCCTCATCTGTAAAATGAAGGCATTGCAATAGGTGGCTTCTACTATCCCCTTCCAGCTCCAAATCTATGATCCTGTGACTTGGGTTCTTTCCTCAGGTCTGCCAATAACATATAACCTTGGGTAGGTCATTTCTCTTACTTAGACCTCAGTTTCTTCCTCTGCCAAATGAATGGTTGCATAGATAATTTTTAAGGTTCTTTTAAAGCTCTAACATTCTCAGATTTTGTGTTCTAAGTCTGTTCCAAGGTTCTTTATAGCTCTAACTTTTCATGTTCTATGCAACCTTCTAGTTCTGACACTCAATCCCATGTTCTAGAATTCTCTGACTCTTTATTCAAATATTCTATATTATAAAGGGCCCTTCTTGTTCCAGCTTTCTCTAATTTAAAGATAATAACCATATGGGAGGGATAGAAGGATCTCTGGCTTCCTGTTTTGCTTAGAAACCACACAAACCAAACTCCTGTGCGTGTGTAGAATCAATTTCTGCCTACCACAGGGATTTGCCTCCATCATGTATGAAATAGCTGTAAATACCTTGGATGGCAAGTTCTTGGAGCTCTTTCAGCAAGTTTTGATGGCGGAGAATTGAAATGATCCTTTCATCTGTAAGAAAAGATTATTGTCATGGGTAGCTTCCAGCCACCAGCTGAGTAAGATTTCCCTCCATATGATCTGCTGCACACAACACTCAACAGCAGGGCCTAGTGAGATGTTGTCTTAGATTCCATTCAGAAGAGTCCCAGGCACTATATCTTATTGTGGGCTCACCAAAGTCACCTGACCCAAAGTTTATTCACCCATCCATTCAAAACATGTATTAAGTACCTTTAAAGTGGCACCTTTAGCCCTGGGTAAACACCTACTCAGAGACCCAAGGTCTTCAAAGTGGTAATGGTTTTTGTCAAAAACCAATGCTAAAATTGTCTTCCCACCCCTGATCCACCTCTTAACCAGATTGAAAAGCAGGGAGATACAAATACCTCCTCGTAGTGTCTCAAAGCAGTCCTCACTGATGGGCAGTGGGCTCGGTTTGGAAAGTGTGTCAGAGATGACCTCAACAATACACCTCATTACCTGGGAGGGGAGAAGAAAGGGAAGAAGGGAAGAAAGGAGAGAGGAGAAGGAAATGGAGAGAGAAATATCGAGAGATCAGAGCTTGTCCCTGGCCATGATGTAGTAGAAGAAACCATGCCACTCATTTGGGGGTGGATCTGTCTGGAGGACCAAGTCACCCAAAGACTTAAGAGAAAGTTTTCATTTTGACTTAGTCACAGATTTATACCCCATAGCTAAGGAATATTTACTTTACCCTCTCCAACTCTCAGAGTAATCCTGTTCTATGAAAGGGCCCTTCTCAGTTTTGTTCATTCTGTTAATAAAATAATATATTCATGCTTTCAGGAACTGTATATACTTAGCCTAAAAAGTGTTATTTGGAAGACCTGAGTTCAAATCTAGCTGTACACACTTACTAGCTGTGTGGCCCTGGGCAAGTCACTTCACCTGTTTGCCTCAATTTCCTCATCTATAAAAGGGGGATAATAACAGCACCTACCTCCCAGGAATGTTAAGACCAAATGAGATAATATTTGTAGAACTCTTTGCAAACCTCAATGTCCTATATAAATGATAGCTATCTTTTTTTGTTATCATAGATAAGAAAACTGAGTCCTAGAGAGGTTAAATGTCTTGCCCAAGGTCATACATAAGAGGCAGAATCCAAACCTAGGGTTCTCCAACTCCAAAAGCTCTATATCACATTGCTTTTTTTTTTTTTTTCAGTACAACTAAATTCAAAGTGCTGAGACTCTGCTATGGAAGCTGGCACAATTCCAGAAAAGAAATCTAATCTGAGCAGCCCGGTGCTGAGTGCACAGACTAAATAAAAATGGAAGATGGATCGGGGTACTCTGAACATTCTTTACCTTCCTCAGGCCTTGGGAGGAGATTAGGAATGATGGGCAAAAGTCACTGAGAAACACATTTCAGATTACTCTTAAGGAAAACCCTCCTCATAATGAGAGCTATTTCAAAGTGGAGCTGGTTGCTTCATGAGATATCCCCCATTATCACAGGATTCAAGCCAAGGTGGGATGACCACTCTTTGATGATGTTGCAAGTGGGATTGTACTCTGGCATCCCTTCTGACTTGAAGAGGCTGAAATTCTGGCTCTATTTCTTACTGGGAAAGGGAACTAATTTGCACTCTCAGCTGTCAGTCATTTTGCAGGTCTGGCACAGGAGACACTGATGGTGCTATTTGGATAATACTCTTGGATTTAGATTCATATGTTGGCTCTCCAAATTAGGCAGTGCTGGACTGGGGACTTCCAACAAAGTTAAAAACAAAGGACCACCTCTGAGACACTCTCACTTGTTCATGAAGATGGACTACCAGAGCTAGTAAGCCACTCACCCTTGACAGAACTCTGGGAAATAGTAACAAATTAATCCAATTCTGCCAGATTTCAAAGAAAGTAAAAGCTCAGGTATATGGGAAACTATGAGGAACCAGTGTGTCCTACTCTGGAATATGGTAGCAATAAGATGCAATGGAAAGAACAGTGCACCAGGAACCAAAAGACCTTGAATTCAAGCCCTAGTCCTTCCATCTACTGACTGTGAGATTCTGGGAAAGTAATTTCTGCTCTCTGGGCCTGTTTTGTGTAAAAAGAATTCCTCCATAAAAAGAGAGAATAGGACTAGATGATGCATAAAGTGCCTCCCAGTTGTTTCCAAATTATCCGCTGTTCCCAATGTCTAATTCCAGATCCTCTCAAAGCTGAAAGGAACCACCAATGTTAATAGATTCAATTCCCAGTCCAATAGATGAACTTAAGAGGAGACATCACAGTATGTGAGAGGCAGTATAATGCAATGGAATGAGGACTGACTCCAGACTCAGAGGCCTCCAGTTTGAATCCCGTCTCTGCCACTTTCTATTGTTATGACCTTGACCTTACTAACTCACTGGACCTTAGTTTCCTTTTCTGCAAAATGAAGAGATTTGGCTACATGATCTATGAAGTCCTCCCAGTTCTAAATCTAAGTGATTATCCAAACCTTCACTCAATCACCAGGGAGCTGGAGTCCAGTTTTAGAGGCAGCAAGGTATTGTAGAGACAAATGATTTTGAGATCTGTGAGGCAAAATGAAAAGAGGACTAGCTGGCACAGAGGATAGAGGGCTGGACCTGGAGTTAGGAAGACCCAAGTTCAAATCTGGGCTCAGACACTTACTAGCTGTGTAACCCTGGGAAAATCATTTACCTTCCTTTTGCTTCCTCTTCCGTGAAACAGAAATAAGAATAGCATCTACCTCCTAGGGTTGTTGTGGGGGTAAAATGAGATATTTGTAAAGTGCTTTGCAAGCTTTAAAGTGCTACATAAATGCTACTTATATTATAATGGTGATGATGATGAGGAGGAGGATGATGATGCTCACTGAACTTGGAAGTCAGAACACCTGGATTTGACCCCAAGCTCTTACACTAACCTACAACTTAAGCAAGTTATTCAATCTCAGTCTATCTCAGTTAATACTCAAATAATACTACTTGTACTATCACCCTCTTAGAGTAGTTGAAAAGATTCCACTTTGTGGCAGCTAAGTGGTGCAGTGAATGGAGCACAGGGCCAGAAGTCAGGAAAACCTGAGCTCAAATCTAGCTGGATGACCTGGGCACATCACTTAAACTCTGTTTGCCTTAAGTGTAAAATGGAGATAATAAAAGCACCTACTTTGAAGGGTTGTTGTGAGGATCAAATGAGATAATATTTGTAACACTCTTAAGCACAGTGCCTGGCACATGGTAGGTACTATATAAATGCTTATTCCCTTCCCTTACAATGACTGGCTCTGGAATCATAGGACCCAGGTTCAAATCCCACCTCTGATACTTACTACCAGTGTAACTTTGGGAAAGTCATGCAGCCTCTGTCAGCCTCAGCTTCCTCATCTGTAAAATGGGGTGGTAGAGCTTGAAGTAGATGGCCTCTGAAGCCCCTTCAAGCTCCATAGTTATAATCCCTATGATCCATACAACGCTATAGAAATACAAGCTGAATGGTCTGTTTCTATAAGACTGTCCATTCAGGATCTCTAGGCATATCATAGCTCAGGGGTCAGATCTAAAAGGTAAGTGACCTTTAGTCTGACATTCCAGCAATCAGAGCTTGATCCATTAAACAGGGGAGCAGAAGGCACCCCTCTTCTGTAAACAACAGTGATGGAAAGAGAGGAGAGATTAAAGGGATGTAATGCTATATCTAGTCAGGCAAAGAAGACAGTGGTCACGTTGACTGGAGGAGCATGCATACAACCAGTTGAATAAAATTTTGAACCTTCACTACAGTATTGTCACATAGCCAGAGCCTGATGAACCTATGAGGTATCTAGGGACATGTCTCGCACATAATGGGGGCCTAAGGAGCTGTTATTGACTGACTGGCTCAGCTGGCTATAGGATCGTGGTCTGTTTTCCAGGAAGTGATTGTCAAAGAGGATCCTGGGTGTCCTCTTTTGTGGAGCTCCCTGAAAACAGGATCTCATTTTCTTTGAGTTATTTTGCATTGCAAGTGCTAGTGCGTTGAGCACCCACTAAATATTTGTTGATGAGGACAATTTCCAAGAAAGTAGAGTTTGTCATAATTGGACAGGCAGTGAGGAAAGAATGGAAATGGCACAGCACTGTGAGTCAGGACATCTGGGTTCTAGTCTCAGCTTTGTTACTAACTCTTTGTCCTTGGCCAGATAGCCTTTTGCCTTTCTGAAATGCAGTTTCCCATCCATAAAAAGGTTTTCTCTCAAGCAGGGGTTCTAAACTCACTTGTATCATAGATCTCTTTGTCAGTCTGGTGAAACCTGTTTACCCCTTCTCAGAATAATGTTTTAAAAACTGAAGTAAATGTTAACTTTCAGTGAGAGGTTAGTGAAAATAAAGATATGTGTGTATATGTATGTGTATGTGTATATCTTTCCCCAACGAACTTCGTAGACCTGAAATATAACCCAGGTTAAGGACCCCTGATGTAGGCAATCTCTAAATTCCCTTCCAGTTTAACATTCTGTGTTCTAAGGTATTATCCCACTCTGACATTCTAAGTTTCTATATTTCTACAAATACGGAACTCTTGGAGAGAAGGGGTAGCCAACAGGGGGTGGAAATTAGTAGGCTTCAAATCAAGCAATCAAAAGCAAGTAGGCTTCACATCAAGTAATCAAAAGCAGGAACGATAAAGCAATTTGAGAGAGCAATGCTTTGGAAATCTTTTGGACAGTTTGGACAATTTGGGGACAGTGATCTTTGTCTCTTTCCAAGCAGTGATATGTTGAAAAGACACTGGACCTGCAGTCAGAAGACCTGGGTTCAATTTTCAGCTCTGCTCTTAATTAGCTGTGCAACCTCTCAGTTTGCCCATATATAAGATGGGGACAACAGTATTCACATTACCTACTTCACAGTGTCTGTAAAAATCAAATAAACTACTACTGTGTGTAAATTGTTTTGTACCCCTAAAGTGCCATTATAAATATCAGCTATTATTATTACCCCCAAATAATTCCCTAATGGAGCATTCTGTAAAGCAACTAAATGGGGAAAGAAGCAACTAATGGAGATTTATATTGGTCTAAACTGAGGCCACAAATGAGATGAAGTTTGGAAACTCAACTCTGATTTGATCCTGACTCATAACCATGTATGCAAGTGTGTATTTCGAATTGCTCCAAAGCATTGTTAGAGAAGTGTACTTCAGTGGTTTCCTGAAATCAGTGTATTCAAGGATATCTTAGCTCCACTGAAATTGTATCTCCTAGTTAAGTTGGACTTTGAGACTAACATCCACAAAGTGGAATAAATGTCCAGTAACCCCAAGACTGGGTTTTATTCACAGAAGTAGTAAGATTAATGGTCCAAGTACTTAAGTACTCATCACCCTCCCATTCTGGGGAATGAAGGAGCTAGAACCATATCAAGCTAGGTCCCCAATGGAGCATTCCAGAGACTAGAATGAAAAATAGGCTGGGAGCAGGGACTGTTTGCAGTTAATTTTACATCTGTTTCCATGGAACAATGGGAAGAGTGCTGGATTTGGAATCAGGATATGCGTTCAAGCTCTGTCACTTGCTAGCTCTGTAATCTTGAGTCTCGACCTCTCTGAGCTTCAGTTTCATCATCTGTTTAAATAGAGGAAGGGTGGAAGTTCCCTTCTAGCTCTAAACCCATCATCTTATGAACTTACAGAGAATTTATTCTAGAAAAATCACCTTGCTCTCCCCAGTACTCTCTTCAAATTGTAGAAAAGAAATCCTGAGAGGAATGTTAATGTTCAGAAAGGAACAATCAGCTAGAGCATGTGTACAACAGGTGCACAGACTAAGTCAGTTGTATGCTGAGTCCATTGGCCACCTGTGCTAACATAATTGTACAAGTATCTCAGTCCAGTTGTGTACAAGTAATTCAGTTATACAAGTTCACCAGTGTAATGGCACAAATGACTAGTTTTAGCTGTACATTTGCACTACTTCAGTTTTGGATTGGACTAGTTCATTGTATATGCAATTAATTCAGTTGCACATACAAGACTACATGCATAATAGTTCAGTTGTTCAAACGCACTGAAAGCATTGTACTTTATTTTATTTTATTTTTTTTGCTTTTTGGTGAGGCAGTTGGGGTTAAGTGACTTGCCCAGGGTCACACAACTAGTAAGTGTCAAGTGTCTGAGGCTGGATTTGAACTCAGGTCCTCCTGAGTCCAAGGCCAGAGCTCTATCCACTGTGCCACCTAGCTGCCCCTGCATTGTACCTTTAACAATTTTAGTCATATACATGACAAGTTCAGATTAAACCAGGCACAGATACTACACATCCACATCGATGGAGCCATGGGATTCACTCAAGATGAGCCAATATGATTTGTGTTAAGCCAATTGGAGAAAGAACTCCCCAATCTTTTCCTTCACCATATAATTTGAGTGGAAGAAGTTACCATTTTAGGAGGTCTTCAGCTTTCCTTTATCTAATCCAATGGACTGATTATAACCTTTGCTATTCAGAGATCCAGACACCCACTTTATGCTTTACACCCAAGGTTGTAGCTGAAGGTCCCTTATGTGCCTTACCTTAGTATCACTTTTATTTGCTGGGCTGTTCACTGGGAATGCGATGACTGGAAAAGAAAAGGAGAAAAAGAAAAGGACTTATTCCCACTGAGACAGTTTTATGCCATACAGTGTTTTTCCTTTTACCTGGGAAGCAGGGATGGTCCCAAGTAGAGACCCCTCAACCCAAGTGCTCACTTTTCCCATGATGTGGCTCACAGAAGGGGCTCCCAAACCTCAGAGGTCTTTACTCCAGCTCTTAATTTCACAACTAAAAGAGTACAACTAATGTACTCTTTTCCAAAAGGTAGATTTCCAGGGAGATTGGGGGCAGTGGGCTTTTCATAAACATTTTACCCAAGCCAGACAGGTTGACTTGTGCTGAAAAGTATTAATCATTCTAGTGGTTGGACAGCTCCCAGCCCTGATGCAGGTCTACTGGGTACACATAGGAGGAGGGCTCCCAGATGGCTCAGGAGACCTTGAGGCAGGTGCCAGGGAAACAAAGCCAACAGTTTAGCTAGAATGGGGGAGGGGGTGAATAAGGAGAAGGGAAGTGATACAAGAAAAAGGAGAAAGGTAGAGTAAATAGAGGTAGGAGGGTGATGGTGGGGTGAAATAGGGAAAAGAAGAGAGGTGATCTGGTGGAGAGAGAGGGAAAGAAACAGGAGAGTAAAAGATGAAGGAGAGAAGAATATAGGGAGAGATGATGGAGAGGGAAGTAGTAGGAAGAGAAATGAGGAAGAGAAGGAGAGCGAAGAAAGAAACAACTGAAATTTCCCTGAGCCCTTCCCCCAACTCTGCCAATGACCTTGACCAGCATCAGGCTTTGAGCCCAGGTTGCAGTGGAGGTGAACCCTAGTGGAGAGCCCAGGAAGGCAGGAGGGAAGACCCACCTCAGAGCCCTTTGCCATAGTGGACCCTTATCCTGGACCTGAAGCAGAACCTCAGCTTTCAGCTCCAAGAAGAGAAAGGAGAGTGAAAGGGAGGGTTTAGAGTCACTGTCGCTGCCCATGGTGCTGATGAGACCTGGGATGTAAGACGGAGTCAGGCCGCCCCAGCTCCCTGTGGTCCTAGGCAGTGGAACTGCTTGGGGACTTCTGAACCTCTCCTCTCTCCCCCCTCACCCCCATATCCTGTCCTCTCCCAGTCCCATCTCCTTACTTACCTTGCACAGCCAAGAACAGCAGGACGAGGAAGGCGGGAAAGCTCATGGTGAGTCCTGGGTCACAAACTCGGCCTGGAGTTGACTTGGGGACCCAGGAGAGGTAGGTGCTAGGGGTTCAGAAGACTCTGGGCAGGCTGAGTAGGGGAAGTGAGGTGGAAAAGAAGACAGATTTATTGCTATTTCTGAGCTGCTTTGCACAACTGGGAGAGAGGAACCTGCCTGACTCACAGAAAAGAGGTGGCGGGGGGGGGGGGGGGGGGGGCAAAGCGCCTGCCAGAGAACGGGGGGGGGGGGGGGGATGGCAACGCCTTAGCTTGCCTCTTTGCCTTTTTCCGTCAGCCTGCAGTCTTTCAGCACTCCAACTGGAGCTCTGCTGCAGCAGCTTCCTCACACCTTCTCTTATATACTGCTCCCAGCCCCCCGGAAATGAAGTCAAGGTAAATAGTCCCGCCCTTTTTCCCCCAACCTCCAGCCCCAATCCATCCTCCTTCCTTTGCTCTGCGCAGCTGCTCAAAAGTGCCCGCTATTTCCGCAGGGCTCCCTCAGCCTTCAGTTCTCGCTGCATCTGGGCTCCATTGTGGCCACTTCCTCAAGTGAGAGGCACCCAGGAAAGCAACTGAGGAAGTCAGGGTGGTATAGTGGAAAGTCACTGGATTAAGAGTTATAGAACCTAGGATAAAATCTCAGCCCTTTGCACGTATAAGGAAAGTCACTTGACCTCAATTTTCCCATATACAATGCAATTGGAAAATTGAGGGACTGAACTAGCTTAGACCTTTAAGGTTCCTCTCAGTTATAAATTCTATGGGCCTGTGGTTAGAGACCCAACCCAGTCAGATCCAGCCCAAGACAGTTGAGTAGCTACAAGGCCAGATCTTCAGTAATGTGAATTTGCTTGGACAGTCCCCCAGGGGAAAAGAAAATCACTGTGATTGGTGGGAAATACCAAAATGGCTTCCTGAAAACATTTAGCTGAATAATTATTTCTTTAATCTAGGTAGCATGGTGTATTGAAAAGTGCACCGAACTTGGAGTTAGCCGTGTTCTAGCCTTGGCTTTGCCATTCTCACTGTGTGACCTTGGGCATCACTTAACTCCTCTAAGCCTTAGTTTCCCCATCGGTAAAAATTAGCATGTAATCTCTGGAGTCCATTTCAATGCTCTGATGTTCCACGTTCTGATGTCCTATGTTCTAGCATTCCTTCTAGCTGTAATGTTCTAACATTCTGTTTTTTACAACCTTTTCCAGCTTAGAGATTTTATCTTTATTTGTTTTACATCTAATATTTAAACATATACTCCCAAGCCTCCTGCAAAGTAGGTGGAGCATGTGTGATCATTCTTGTTTAACTGATGAAGAAAAAATAATCCAGATAGGTGACTTGACTCAGGTCACACAGCAAGTTAATGACAAAGATGAGACTAGAAAGTCAACAAGCATCTACTAAGCACTTACTGTTGTGCCAGACACTGAGCTAAGTGCTAGGGATACAAAGAAAATCTACAGTCCCTGCTCTCATGGAGAGCACAGTCTAATGGGGAAGACAACATGCAAACAACTATGTACAAACAATTTGTGTACAGGATAAATTGGAGATAATAAATAGAATGAAAGCACTAACATTAAGGACCATCAGGAAAGATTTCTTGTAGGGGGTGGAATTTTAGTTGGGAGTTAAAGGAAGTCAGAGAAGCCAAGAGGAAGAGATGAAGAGGGAGAGAGTTAGAGGCATGGGGGACAGTCAATGAAAATGCCCAGAGTCAAGAAATAGAGCAACTTGTTTAAGGAATAATAAAGAAGGAGGCCAGTGTCACTGGATCTCAGAGTATATGCAGGGGGATAAGATATAAGAAGACTAGAACAGTAGGAGGGGACCAAGTTATAAAGACTTTAAAAGCAAAACAGAACTTTAAATTTGATTCTAGAGGTAACAGAGAGCCACCTGAGGGGGTTGATGGGGGCTGGCATGGTTAGACCTGAAATTTAAGATCAGTTTGAGAGAGGGAGAATGTAATGGAGTGGGAAGTCTTGAAGCAAGGAAACCAGCAAACCCACTACACTAAATTGTATAAAGATTGGTGGTTTCATTAACATGGGTACTCCCTCTCCTGATGCCTATCCAAACTCCCAGCCCATCCCCATCTTAGGAGATATAAACAATTTGTCCTCTGATGGCCAACCTTGTAGGAATGAGCCTCTACGTGCTTAGCTAGGCTGTCTATTCCTATGTGAAGTATTTTCCTGAAGTCTTTTTATCTTTGTAGGAACTTCCAGAGCTTGCATTTCCATTGCTTGACCTTTTAGAACCCAAGGTCACCTTCATGCCTCAGTGATTTACTGGCATAAAAATAATAGTTCATACTTCAGTCAGCAAACATTTATTAAATGCCTACTATGTGCTGAGGAAGTAGAAATGAGGAAGGATGGAAAGAATTCCAGACATGGGGAACAGCCAGTGAAAATGCTTGGAGTGAGGAGGTAGAGTGTCTTGTTTCTGTTACAAAGTACTAAACAAATTCTCTCATTTGATCCTTGTATGACAACCCTGTGAGACGCAGCAGGTCGTAGGGGATCAGGAACCTAATTCAAAGTCAGGAGAAGCTGAGTTCAAGTTCTTCTTCTTATACATGCTAGCTGTGTGACACTGGAAAAGTCACCTAATGTGCCATCCTCAGGCAATATTCGAAGGCTAAGCTGTAGAGAAGGTACCTATCTTCATTGATAAAAGAAATTCCTCACTGGGAGCTCCCTAGGTCGGTAAAATCACAGCTCCAACCAATGCCCCAGTAGGTATTATTGTGCCCAGAAGAAAGTTGGGCTCAGAGATGTTGTGACTATGTTACACACACGTCTATGAAGCAGCAGAGGCAACACGCAAACCCAGGTTACCTGACTACAGACATCAAGTATGTTTTCCATATTGATTCCTCTTTTTGTAAACTTTGAACTCTTTTTTCCTCAACACACATCTGAAAATATTGAAAGGAACCTAAAAATGAGTTTTTCTTTTTCTAAAACTTAAATACACAATAAGAAAAGAAAAGAAAAACATGTTATGGGCACAGCAGAATATAAAAGAGGATTCAAAATATATAGCAATAAATTTCCATTTCAAGAAAGTCTAAGTAATAAATACTACATATTGTGTTCAGAGCTGGTCATCTTTTCTTTGCTTCTTTGTAAGCTTTCTTTTGTTCTCTGCTGTGCACTTTTTACTTTATTCTTTTTTCTCCCTTCCTCCCCCACCCCTCCCTTGCAAAAAAAAATTAGTTTCTAAGTGATATTGGAGAAGAGGAGGATCAAAGAGAGAGAACCAGGGGTGTGCTGGAATTAGATCCTACTTGCACATAAGAACCTATTGTTAAATCTTCGTTCTAAGCATTTATTTCTCATAAATCATCAAATGCTACAAATCTGGACTTTTTTGTTTGTTTTATTGCTTCTCTGAACTTAAGAAAGTGATGGAGAAAGTACAGATTAAAATGTGTTGTATGTGTATATGTATATATTTTTTTTCAGTTAAACATTTCCCAACATACCCCTGGATATAACCATTGCTTTGAGTGGACAAGATGACAATAGACATTGGAGAGAAGATAGGGCTACTCAGTTTTTATATTTCTTCTGTTTTCTCTGCCAAGAAAATTCATGCTTGGTCAGGGGGAAAATAAGTAGCTAATATGGAGTTACAACTCCAGATTAGCAAAGAAACAATACGAGAAGCCCTAGCTGCCCTTGGTGATTCCAGATTACCAAACCCAAATGAATTACATCTCAAATGGTTTATGAGATTGCAGAACTACTGTAAGTATTCTTTGTACTTAGTAATACTAATAGCAAACATTTATATAGTACTTACTATGTGCCAGGCACTGTGTTAAATGAATTAAAATTTATTATCTCATTTGATTCTCACAATAACCCTAGGAGGTGGGTGCTATTATTATCATCTCCATTTTACAGATGAGGACACTGAGGCAAATAGCAGTGAAGTGACTTGCTCAACACAGCTAATAAGTGTCTGAAGCCAGATTTGTACTCAGGTCTGACTCCAGGCCCAGTACTTTATTCATTGTATCACCTAACTGCCCCAAAGCAAAAACTGCCAGTAATCTTTGAGAATTTATGAAGAATGAAAGAGATATTTCAGAACTAGAGAAAGAAAAAAAACCCTGACTTTCGAAAACAGAAGAAATAAAGAGTAAAATCTGCATACTGTGGGATAATGAGATTGATTTTGATTCTGGGCAATATTCTAGAATGTAATTTTAGAGGGATGGTTAATGAATATCTTAAAAAAAGAAAAGGAATCCATGGTTGCCTTAGCAATCCATCATGGCATCTCAAGAACATGCCACACCAGACTAAATCATTTTTTTACAGGTTTACTATGTTATGCTTGAAGACAAGATGAAGGAATATACTTTAGACAATAATACAATTAGTAAGATTCAGGAGAAGTTGAATGACTAGCCCAAAAAAAATGACAATAGGCTGATGTCACTATGAAAGGAGGAGTGTCTCAAGATCCATCTTTGGCTCTGTACCATTTAACATTATTATAAATGACTTTTAAAAAGGTGTAAATTTGCAGAGTACTCAAAGTTGAGAGGGATAACTAACATGTTGCATATCAAAATCAGGATACAAAAGAGGTCCCAACAGGCTAGAACACTGGCTTATATCAAATATGATATTTAATAGAGATAACTATAAAGTCTTACATATGGGTGCAAACCTAGATACAGTGGATGGAAATTGCAGAGATGGATGTTTGGGCTTGATATAAGGAAAGATTTCTGAAAAATTAGAGCTATGCAAGAGGGGAAAGGGCTGCCACAGACGTTGCTGAGTTTCCTCTCAGTTGAGATATTCAAGCAAAGGTTGAATAACCACTTTGGAAACATTTGTTCAGGTACTAATTGGTTTAGATGAGATTCTTTAAACTCTGAGATTATAGGATTCTTTGCCCCATTTTCTAGAATAACAAGTTGAATTGTTTTAGTTTGTGCTTGGCTGGTGGTTCTAACATTTCCTCAAGTCATTTGACTGCCTTTTTCTTTCTTTTTTTTCCTTTTTTTTCTTTTCTTTTCTTTTTTTTTTAAACTGCCTTTTTCTAGACCTGCCCTAGCTCACTCACAAAATCTTAGAGTTGGAAGGGTCTTTCAATCAATGCTCAACCAATCTAATTGTATTTTCATCTAGTTCACAGTTGAAGTCCTCCATCATTACTGTATTCTGCTTCCATGACAGG